TGTAGGTAATTCATTTCCAATGGCAAGCCACTCTTTCAGACCTACTTCGCCTCTGAACTTGTGAGCACTAACTTCATCTTTCTGACACAGCATCTCTTGTACTTTTGACAACTGACTTTTCCCACTTCATCCTTATGTTTTTTTTAGCTTCCCTTCCATTCTAGACCCTTGTCTGTCACTCAAGGCCCCCAGACACCACCCGTCCGCCTCCCCTGCCCTGCCAGTCACTTGCCCGCTCTTGGAGAGCAAGGGCTAATCCCTGCTGTACCAACAATGGGCAAAGCTCATCCTCTCTGCTCCAGCTTCCCTGCTCTTTGGGAAGAAAAAGAAATATATTACAACGCGGGGTGTCTGTGTTTATGAGATTAACAAACCTGTTCTGGTCTAGCCAGCCTGCTTCTACCTCTTTCCCTATCAGGCTTATTTTCTTTTGAAGGCACACACCTGCTCTGCCCCTCAGGTTTCTGGCTTGCTGCCTTCCACCGCATACAATTGCTAGAGCTCAGAGCAGCCTGCTTCCTTAGATTTTTTCCTTCCGAGTTTCCTTAGATTTTTCTTTTTAAAATTTTGGACCCTTCTCCAAGGTTTCAGAACCTCTTTTCACAGAGGTTTCTGAACATATATTTGTTAAATTGATAATTCACATTATTATACATAGAACATTACATGTCTGTGTATGTGTATACATACATCTACAAAAGGTGTAGGCATATTGAAATAAATTTATGATCAAATATCAAAACAAGTGAGTAGGCGCCATACTTTTGAGCCTGTATTTTCTCAAGTGTGAAAATAGGGTAGACAAAATGTGTTTTGAACCACAACCACCTTAGTTAGATGCTGAGCTCTATAAGACAAGCAGACAGTTTCTTTGCCCACTATGAAATAATAACCAAGGCATCCCCAAGGCATAGATTTTCAAACAAAAGAGGCACTTATGGGCTAGGGAAACCTCCTATTAGCTTTCAATTTTTAAATCAACCCTGGTATTAAATATTTTTGAAAAAGTCTTTTTTTTCCTGTTAAAATTCCATCTTGCCCTGGCAGGCATTTCTCAGTAGTTAGAGCATCAACCTGCACACTGAAAGGTCATAGGTTTGATTCCTGGTCAAGGTCACATACCTGGATTGTAGATTTGATCCTCAGCCCTGGTCAGGGCATATGCAGGAGGCAACCAATTGATATGTTTCTCTCCTACTGATGTGTTTTTTTTTTCTCTCTCTCTCCTTTCCCCCCTCTTTTTCACTCTCTCTAAAAATCAATGGAAATAAATCCTTGGGTGAAAATTAACAATAGCAAAAAATTCCATCTTCACTCACTTTCTAGAAATTGGAAGAACATGCCTACCAGTGAATATGTTAATGGCATGCTTCCACTTGCTCAGAATGGACATACAAATGTGCACCAGTGTCCTCTAGATTCCCTATACATGATCCATAAAAACTGAACTGCAATGCTTGAGCTCCACCATTACGAAGATTCCGAACAGTGCTTTGTACATAGTAATCCCACAATATAATTGTGTTAAGTGAACACATCTAGAAAAGATTCCACTCTTCCTAAATTCATGTAATTCATTTTTTTTCTAAAACATTCCAGTTCCTGTTTAAATGGAAAGAAATCGATCTCTTCTAGAAGCCACATTCGGCAGTGAGCTTTCTGGTTGATGAGAGGAAGCTTCAGCCCAGACACTGTAGCTGGAGTGGTATACCTGGTTCCCAACAAGAATGGCAAACAATGACATATATACATGGGTTAAATCACCCATCCAACTATCCATCCAGTCAGGTAAATCCTGGCGAAGACATGTGTTCACACAGCAGACAATATCCTTTCATTGGAGGACCACAGACACAAAACTTTTAGAATGACATTACCATTCCTACCTCAATTAATTTTGCAGAACTAAACAAGTATATAAACCACTATATGGGTTGGTTGTTCAATGTAACTGCCCAGCAAAAATATAAAGTGCATGAAGTACTGAGAAACAATAGCCTTTCTTTGAGTTCCTTAATAAAATTATGTTGAAATTCGTGGTGCACTAGGTAACTTAGAATATAAAAGACACACATGCTACAGAGCTTTCTCAGAGGCATGGAGGGTTGACAGGCAAAGTGACTAAAATGTGAGCACTGGTACCTCCCCCCTTTTAGGAACCATGGCATTCAACAAGTGTGTTAAATAAGCCACTACCATATGTTCAACCCCATGAAGCATGTGAAAATGACAAAGCACACTCTTGATCAGCTTGAAATCTGGTAAAAGAGTCTGGGGGGTGTGAGCACCCCAAGAGGCACAGCATGGGATCCTACCCTAGGCTAAACATGGATGTTGGTGTCCAGCATTTGGGGGGAAGAATGACCATGAGAGATAATGGAAGCCTTCTAGAAGAGAGGCATACCAATTGGGGAGCATTAACAGATGCATGGCAGGCAGCCAGGGAAGGAGGGCAGCACTGTCAAGAACTTGGGAGACTCTAGATCAGGGGATCTGGCAGTGTGGACCCAGGCCAACAGCATGGATACCACCTGGGAGTGTGTTAGAATGTAAATCCCCAGGCCCACCTCAGACCTACCAAGTCAGCAACTGTGGGGGTGTGGCCCAGTGACCTGAACAAGTTCTTTGGGGGATTCTGATGTATGCCAAGTTTGAGAACCACCAAATTAGAGCAGGCACTGTCCTCCCTTCAATGGGCTACCCAGTACTGGCCTGGGCCTGCCACTTCCTAGGATTGTCAGGGAAGAAATCCAGGGCTTCCCCCCTCCCTTCTCCCCTTTCTGCAAACCAGTACTCTGGGCACTGGGCAGCCAAGGGGTGGAGGGGACATGGGAGGCCAGGGCTGTTCAGACGTCGCACACATTGTGAAGAATAATTACAATTCCCACTGGCATCTAGACAAACCCCTCTCATGCATCCTCCTTGGTGACTTGTACTTCTAATGGACAATCGGATATTGGGAGGGATGGAAGCAGAGGAGAGCTAAGCAGAGGCAGGGGGTCGAGGGGGAGAGGGAGGAGGAATGAGGCCTTTGTGAGCCCAGAAAGTTGGCAGTTATTACTCACTCCCTCTCCCCTTGTGTGCAGGTTTAATTGTTGGCTCAAAAAGCCTGAACCTAGCCCTTAATGAGGCAGCTGAGAGCAACCTTCGAAGACAAAGAAGCCATCAGAATTGCACTTCCTTTCGGATCAGATCTTTGGAAAGCACAGCAGGGATATTTTGGAAATTGTTACTGACTTAATCAAAATGTCTGCAGTCCCTGGATGACTAACAGAACAAAAGCAGAGTGTGTTCTCCTTTCACCCACCACAAAAGGATGTGCCTCTTGGCTGCTCCGTTCTCCCTGTTTGTGTAGTTCTTATTCTCTTCAGAAGTTCACAGGTGATATGACCCTTTTCATTTGAAGTGCTAGCTTCTGGGCTGACCATGCTACTGAAGTGGCTTTTGCTAAGATCATGGCAGACCTCAAGTGTTCCTGTTGTGGGCATGTTCAAATGGCCTTCTGCTGTCAGTCAGCAAAAGAGCAAATGGCCTTCTGCTGTCAGTAACACGTCCAAATCTGACCAACTCAATAGCGGTCCTGGTCCCATTGGTTTCCCCAGGAATCAGACAAATGCTGTATGATTCCACTTACATGATGCATCTAGAGTGGTCATAGTCACAGAGACAGAAATAATGGCTATTGCCAGGGGGTATAAGGAGGGGGGAGGGGACTTCTTATTGTTTAAGGGATACAGAGCATAATTTTGCGAGATGAGAAGAGTTCTATGGATGGATGGTGGTGATGGTTGCACAATGTGAATGTCCTTAATGCCACTGACCCATACATTTAAAAATGCTTACGATGGCAAATTGGTTATGTCTATTTTACCGCCATTTAAAAATCCTTTTTAGAAAGTAAATGAGCTGTTTTGTCTTACTGCAATACATCCAGTTTGACACACAGTAATAAAAATGACAATGAAAGTAATGATTTGCAAGCATGGGGTTACATACTTGGGAATTATCCGCTCCATCCTTTTAGGAGCATTCCATTATCATCTTCAATGCAAGAAAGTGAGAGAGCGGGGCAGTGACTTGCCAGGGCTCACACTCCTCCTATGAGGTAGGGTGAGACATGAGCCCTGAAGCCTGCCTGACTCTAACACCAGGGCGCTGAAGCCCCGTGAGACTTCCATCGTGCAAACTTAGTTCGAAAAATCTGGTAGTGACTGTGTGTTCACAGGTATATGAAAAGCCCTCCATGCCACCAACTTATTCTGGTATATTACACCAACATGTATATTATACATGTATTGGTAGAAAGTTCTGGCAATGAACCTGTGGAGAGAACACAACACTTCCTTGTGGAGTGATGGGTATCTCAGGTCTGGAAAACGCAATGCCCAACTCCAATTCCACATTACTAATACATGAGTCCAGCCAGCCAGTGAACGAACTGGTGTTTTACCAGACACATCTGGAAGGTGTGCCTGAACCAAATATGTTCCTTAACTTCAAAGGTCTCATAGTTCAGAGACATGTACACTAATATAATCTTTGCCATGCTAGGGCCGGGTACCACTATAGAACTGTGCAGTCAAGGCAGATGGAGCCTGGGGTGTGGAGCAGGGGAGGGCATCAGGGGATGGACCTGCTAATGAGACGTGTGCACCTCAGGCCAGCAGGACGGCCAGGAGAGAGGTGGGCCTGGCACCTGCATTTCTAGTCTGAAAGGCCACTGGTTTTGCTCTAATAAAGCACAGAGCCAATTCCTGCCTGTGAGCAGGACCTAGATGCCCTCCTGCTGCTCCCAGCCTCACACCCATTTCTGCTCAAACACCAGAGTAAGGACGGAAGTGGCAGAGTCCTCGGCAGCTTTGCTAACAGGGTGGAAGGGCTGCTTTACCTGCCTCCCCCCCCATCCTTCAGCCAGACACATTCAAGGCTCTCCTCCTGTAACCCTAGGCCACCTCTCACATACCCCTGTGCCCATCCCAGGGGTGAGAACAGAACAGTACCTGGTGTGGGTCAGGGGACCCACTGGTCGTTCAGGTCTCCTCGGAGGCAGTGCGCCTGGTCTGCTGAGAGAATTGGTCTTGGGCGGCCTTGGCTTTTTTGGTGGTATGGCAGGAACAGAAGGCTTCTGTAAATCCAGTTTTGGCTCTCTCTCTGGTCTTTCTTTAAGTCATTGTTTAAAAAAAAAACAACATAAAGAAGACAGATCTAGTGTAAGTGCCAGTACTTAAGTGCTGATTGCTTATTTCATGCTTTAAAAAAAAAAATCACTGATGCTATTTGTGCCTTTTGCGAAGGTGAAGTTGGACACTCAAAAGCATTTTTTATTTTTCTTTTAAATATATATATATATATATATATATATATATATATATATATTAATTTAAGAGAGGTAGGGAGAGGGAGAGAGAGATAGAAACATCAATGATGAGAGAGAATCGTTGATCGGCTGCTTTCTGCACAGCCCACATTGGGGATGGAGCCCACAACTTAGGCATGTGCCCTGACTGGGGATCAAACCGTGACCTCCTGGTTCATAGGTTGATGCCCAACCACTGAGCCACATCGGCCAGGCTAAAGAACATCTTTTAGTCTTTGTCAATTTAGGAGAAGCCCTAAAGAGCAAAACTTAATGTTTGCTTTTGCTCATGATGGTCCCTCTACCTAGAGGGCCCTTCCAGCCACAGACCACCCTTAGCAAACTTCTACTCATCATTAGGCCTACTTATAAGGCCTGGCTGAAACTTGAAATCACTATGTTCCCTTCTCAACAGCTGGGCCCACTGAGCTACAAAGGATAGCCCTGCATCAAAAGGCTCCGCTTAGATACTTGTCTGCATGTTTGGCACAGCCTGGAGGCTGTCAGCCCCAAGGGCAGAGTCCATATCTAGTCATCTCTCTAGAATCTTGCAGGGAACTGGGCACAGAGCAGGTGCTCAGCAAGTGGTTGACAGGCTTGGTAGATGATTTGCAGAACTTGCTGGATGTGGGGAGGAAAGAAGCCTGACACCTCTCAGGTCGGCCTGTGTAAAGGGCCATAAGCTTATAATGAGGAGACCGTTTTAGGGAACAAGGACTAGTTTGGGATTCTTTTTGTGCATTTTGAACTTGGAAGGTAAATTGAGGCTTCACAGGTATTTTGTTCCCAAGGATTTTTGGAGTCAGAGCTATTAAAATGAAGTTAAAGCCAGGTCTGTTGGCCCAACTGAGCAGTGCTCAGTGACAGCTGCATTTTTTCTGTCCCCAGTTAGCCTTTCCCTGTTCATGGCATAAAAAACTGATATCTACATTCTCCTTTACAAAGACAGAACTTCAGAGAGTTGCCCACTGGAGGACAGGCGCGGTCCCCATGTTCACTTGTAGCTGGAACTCTGAACACGTTTTACTTGCAAACACAAACTCATGTTGTTTAGGTGCCCAGGCCAATTGGCCAAACTTTTAAAAGCCCATCAGCATTTGAGTAGCTATCACAGTGCTTATCCCTACCATAATTCAGTGGGGGAATATGCTCCATCAGGAATGCTAGGAGAAAGAACTCAACTTTAAACACCAAGGAAGGAAAATTCCTCCTGCTGGAAGAAATGGAAGGTCAACCATTAGGGTGGGGCTGGATCCCTGGCTTCTCTGTTGATTTTAAAAAATATATTTTAATTGATTTTTTTAAAAAGAGAGAGGAAGGGAGAGGGAGAAACATCAATGTGAGAGTAAAACATCCATCAGCTGCATCTTGTATGCCCTCTACCTGGAATCAAGCCCAAACCTGGGCATGTGCCCCAACTGGGAATTGATCCAGCAACCTTTCTGTGCACAAGATGATACCCAACACACTGGCCAGGACTGTTGCTTTTTTTTTTTTTTTAAGAAGGGAGGAGAGAAAGGAAGCAAAAGAGGAAAGATATATATTTTTAACATATATATATTTTAAATTTTCACCTGAGTATGTGTTTATTGATTTTAGAGAAAAAGGAAGGGAGAGAGAAGAGAGAGAGAGAGGAGAGAGAGAGAGAGAGAGAGAGAGAGAGAGAGAGAGAGAGAGAGAGAGAGACATTGATGTGAGAAATATCAATTGGTTCCCTCTTGTATGTGCCCTGCCCTGACTGGGGATCAAACCCACAACCTAGGTATGTGCCCTAGAATCGAACCCACACATTTTTTGGTGTATGGGACGATGCTCCAACCCTTGTTGCTTTTGATCAGGGCTTTTGCCTTCTTGACCCATTGTGGCACAGAACAATGGTCCTAGGAAGGAAAGTAATCAGAAGTGTGTGGCCGCTTGGCCAGCCAAGTAGGGCAGTTACTAACATGTAAGCTGAGTCTTTTAGCATGGAACAGAGCAGGAAGCATCCTTGTCAAGGAGCCTGACTATTAGTCAGAAACTAGAGGTATGTTCTCCATGAGGACAGGGGTGTTTGGTTATGTCAAAACACACACTTTTATCAAAGAGCTATTTATATGGCACATGGTCAATGGCTATTTTTTCATTGATCTATGATATATACCTGGCCTTTATAATAAGGTTCCACAACTCAAGTTTTAACTCTTCACTATGAAAAAAAAGGTGTAACTTCTTAAGAGCTCACAATGTCAGTAAAACTTTTGGCAAGCTGATATAAAATATTAAAATTTATAATAAAATTCCACGAGGCCACCCAGGAGCACCTCCAAATAATTGAATTCATTAATTCAGCATGACTTACAAATAACTGCTTTTTAAAATGGCATGTGCTCTGATTCCTGTTCATAATAACATAGGATTTTCTCCCATAAAATGTGTGATCAATCAAATCATAGACATCCAATAAAATGAGTCCTTCCACAGCATGTAGATTTCCTTGGGAGAGACTCAGAATGGTAGAACTGAAACACAATTGTAAAACTGACTGTGTGAGATGGGTTAAGCTCCTTCCCTGCAAATAACATTTCTAACCACCTTTAGGGGACTGTAGACACTGAGCTGTTTCTTTCAGTTTTCCCATGCTCCCCCTCTCTTAGCACTCTTGACCGAAGACATGTGTCTGTAGCCAGGGTCAAAGGCCCAGGAGTGATCAAAGATGAGAGTGCTGCTGGTGAGAGCAGGATGGTGATGGCAGGAAGATTGGGATGGAAGAGATCCAGTGTGGTAAGTGACCAGACCTGTTTTTTCTTTTTTATTTGATGAGAAATTCTGCCTCTCCCCCCCCCCCAAAAAAAAACATATAACCCCCTCTCCTATTTCCTTAGATATGAGATATTTAAAAAATCAGAATAATATTCCAAAGAAAGCAAATTCTGTAGATAATCTGGACTAGCCCTGTGACAGACAGCTTTGTCTCTTGCTGTCCTAGAAATATCAGTGAAGACTTGATTTCATACCTTTTTCTTCTGTTCTGTTTGGAAGCGTTTCTGGTCTTTCAGGAGGTATCTTTTTAATTTCATGTTTTCTCTCAGTGGTACCTAGGGGGAAAGGATAGCAGTGATCAGAAAATACTTTCTCTACTCATTTATTAGATACACCAGCGTTTTTAATATTTATTAGGAACAGCAAAGTTAATAGATTTTTTCCTACGCTGAGTGCTGCTGTTACTTGGCAAACACAAGTTGCTAAGAAACAGAGCAGAAGCCATTTCTGTCCTATGTGATTAAGGTTGCCTGCCTATACATCCTTAATTTATAAGAACAACACTAATATTTTATAATATTTAGGTCTGACTCCCCTAGGCATCAAATAGTCACAGGAAATTCTTGAGTGCAGGTGGGGAATGTGTATAAATAAATAAGGAAGTCAATCTTCAAAATATGCAAATAAGGAGATATTGTGCTCTAGACCTAAAAAGGAATTTCACAGGGATCTGGGTTCCACTTTGTAGTGGTTTTAAAATATGGCTTCAAAGTGTTCACTACCCATCTCATTAAGGGGTAATGTTTATGTCCCCTGTTTGGAATATGGGTGAGCTTGTGACTGCTTCAACCAGTGGCCAATGCAATACCATATAATTTCCAAGGTCATGTCCTAAAAGGCCATGTAGCTTATGCGTTACTTGTTAGAATATTGAACCTCTAAGTAAGGATGAATTGTCCTGAGGCCATCATGCTGCAGAGGCCACATGTAGGCCAGGTATACTCACTCTGGCCTACAGCCCTAGCTGAGCCCAGCCTTCCAGCTACCTGTGCCAAGGGGAGCCAGGCATGAGAGTGAAGCAGTCATCTTCAAAGTGGATCAGCCAGCCTCAGCTAGTCCAGAATTCCCAGCTGATGTCCCAGACATCATGGAGAAGAGAGACAAGACACCCTGGCCATGCTCTGTTTAAATTCCTGACCCCCAAATTCGTGGGCATAAGAAGATTGTTGTTTTACGCTGCCACATTTGGGGTGGTTTGCTATACAGCAGTAGTAACTAGAACATATTTTTAAGTGGAGAGATGTGCAGAGAAGATGTGATAGTTCTCCCAAAGTCCTTTCATTTTGTGTCTGAATCCCTCAAGTATTACTTTTTCTCAAATGCACCAATTAGCATTTCATCTCTTTTTAAATAAAAAGATTTACAGAGAGGAAGGGGGAGGGAGAGAGAGTTAGAAATATGGATGAGAGAGAAAAAGCAATCAGCTGCTTCCTGCACACCATCTACTGGAGATGTGCCCGCAATCAAGGTACATGCCCTTGATCAGAATCAAACCTGGGATCCTTCAGTCTGTAGGCTGCCACTCTATCCACTGAACCAAACCGGTTAGGGCTAGCATTTCATCTTTACCCATGTTGACTGGCATTTTCATCAGTGTCAGTAACTTCAGGCACGTAAGAATGCTTGAAAAGTAGCTAACACATGAAACCAATCACTCACGAGCACTCCTCTGACTTATGGACTTGGTTGAGTGCTTGACAATTCCTTACATGACCAGCCTTATGAATGGATGCTTGGTACTAAAATCTCAATTATATATAGCATGAGAAGCCAAAAGAATTTTTAAAAATTCACTGAACAAACACTTTACCTAAATCTCTCTAATGACTCTCTGTAAATTAAACATTGAATCTGATTTCCATCCATTCCATGTATGATTTTTTTGTGTTAAATAATCAAACACAAGAAAAGTTGATGATGGGGAAAATATGAATATCTACCTCCCCATTACAAAGTAGTTCCCAAGATCATTCAGTAAGATAAATGAGCAACAATAATCTAGGAAGATTAAATGTCATCTTGCTTTGCCCTCAGAGATCCAGCATAACCTTGGTAAAATTGTTTTAAAAGAATAAGAATTTGTCTATCATGCTACAATCTAGTCTAATGCTAATGAAGAAGTCCGGCATCATTCCTAGAGACACAGGAGGAGCTGACAATCCTACTACCATGAAGAATCCAATCCTAGTTACATTCTAGGCTACCTGAGCTACCACTCAACTCATCAACTTGACCTTTCATCTGTCACCAAGGCCTCTACAGAAAAGGGTCTTCAGAGGCAAGAAAATCAATAGCCTGCTTTAATTTCAGCACAATAAAATAGTTATCCAGCCAGAACCACTAGGTGGCAAAACTAAACTGCTCATTGCAGAGGAGGATGGGGGCAGAGCAGAGATGTAATTAACATCCCATGTCAGGGCTTAATCTCTATAATGCTCAACTATGCTGAAGGGAATGAAAATGGAATTTGGGGTCAAGGTGATTTTTCTACTCAAGCTGATGAGCCAAAACAATTTAAAAAAAAAAAAACCCTCCTAAAAAGTCTGTGAATAACCAATCTAGAAATTTATTCATATTTTAAATGCTACAGAAATACCATCATTATTGAGTGTGTAGAACTAAAAATACCCCTATTCTTCTTCTGTTTTAGTTGCTAATTTTTAAAATGCCACTTATCTACTTATTCATTGAGGAATTTCTCTCCATAATTAGTTTTTTAACAATTATAAAGAGTTCTATTGGGAAATATGAATTATCATCTTTATATGTGATACTCCATCCTGCAACAAGTTACCCAATGTCTGACATCAAGTCTTCACATATTATTCAACCTTAATATCTGAACTGCACAGAAAAAGTGAATGATTCTTCAAGATTAAAAAAATCATGAAGAAAAATATTTATTGCCGGGACCGTTTTTGGCTCAGTGGATAGAGCGTGGGCCTGCGGACTGAAAGGTCCTGGGTTCGATTCCAAGCAAGGGCACCATGGTTGTGGGCACATCCCCAGTAGGGGGTGCGCAAGAGGCAGCTGATCGATGATTCTCTCTCATCGATGTTTCTAACTCTCTATCCCTCTCTCTTCCTCTCTGTGAAAAATCAATAAAATATATATTAAAAAAAGAAAAATATTTATTTATAGGAAAATTTTTTTTGTTGGGGGTAAGTGAAGTAAGTGCAAATTTTAGTTAACTACATGAGACACTGAAAATTCAGTGCCACTATCATGTACATTGACACTGTGACCTGTGGAAAGCAATCCCCTCCAAGCTGATTCTCAATCTGGCAAGTATAGGTGAAGAAGGACAATTCAGTTCTGCTTGCCTCAAAAGCCGTTATTAAACCAATAAAAACAAAACAGACAAAAACTGGTTTGTTCCAAAGCCACGTCTTTCTGATCATTCGCTTTAAGAGGTTAGACTTTTTTTTTCTTCTTTTTTTTGCTGTATCAGAAATACATTTTAATGATTATGTTTATTATTATTATTTTTTAAGGAAAAACAGTAGTTATTTAAAATTTGCTTGTTGAGACCAAATCATTACTTCCCAATTTGGCATCCTGTGGCATTTGAATATAAGACTCTGGAGTTCTACCAAGGACACTGTAAATACACACAGAGAATGACACACATGACATTGATGGAACAGAAAGGTACCTTACCTGCCCCTTGTTTGATGACAGGAGTGGATGGAGGAGGTGGCTTCTTGGGTCTCTGAAAAAGTAATCAAAATGATACCACATGAGATTGTTGGCGAGGCTGGCCTCTCCCATAAGGACCATTGACAGTGTTTTCTAGATGTAGTGTGGACAATCTAGAGTTCTCAAAAAAAAAAAAAAAAAAAAAAAAAAAAAAAAAAAAAAAGAGCAACTCTCTGTAGGGATGTTAGCACCTTTAAACAAACACTAAAATATATTCAGTCTGCAAAACAAAACTGATGGACAAATGAAATACCATTTTCCCCTTTCTAAATTTGTAACAGCCTTCTGGAAAAACTTGGCTAAATTTTTAACAGCCTTCTGGAAAAAAATGGCCTGAAACCAGCAAGCACAATGGTTCTCCTACATTGAAAACGCATTTGCAATTAAGATTTAATCTGCTGGACTGCTTCTCTTTTGTCTTCATGGTTGGAGTAGTCCTGTCAATTCCTCTCTGTTGCCAGAATCCAGCATAACGATTATTGCTTGTCTCATTTTTTATTCTTATAAGTATATTTCCAGTAGGACATGATCTCACTCATCTAGGGGAAATGGTGAACATCATAGACTGATGAACAATAGCAGACCCAGAGATAAGGAGCCATGGGTCAGACTGTTGGACCTCAAAGGGAGGGTGAGAATAAAAGGGAGAGATCAAAGGACTTATGTGCACACATATGAGCCTAACCAGTGGTCAAGGACAATAGGGGGTGGAGGCATCAGTGGGGAGGGGTGGGGGGTTGAAATGGGGAGTTGAGTGCAAATATGTGATACCTTAATCAATAAAAATAAAATAAAAATAAAAACAAAAAAGATTTAATCTGCTGAATAACCAAGTGATTCAAAAAGAATCACTGAGGTGGCTTTAAATCAGATCTTCTCTGGATTTGAGACCTTCAACAAAATTCAGGCTCAGGGGCTGGTGCAACTGGGTGGGGTTCTAAGCCTGTTGCCCCTTTCCCTCCCAACGCTGCCAGCAAGGATATCCTCAGACCAGCTGTACGCTGGAAACTAGAATGGAGTTTCTTTGCCTATCAGTCACTTGTTTTACTCTCAAATCTTGTCACTCTATTGGTGACAGAGGTAGCAATGCAATCAATAGCATACATTCCTGAACTGGTTTTAGAGTTTCTCCCTGCTCACCAGGATTAACTGTAGGAGAGAGATGGTCAGGTAGAGACCAGCAAATGAAACTGCCCACCCTCAGCTCTTTATTAGGTGGGTGATTTAGCCAAGTTACCCCTGAGTAATGGAGGGCAAAAGGTGGGGCTTCAGAATCTGTCATTAAAAATTAGGGATCTTTGCCCTGGCTAGGTTGCTCAGTGGTTAGAGAGTTAGCCCAAGGACCCAAGGGTCTCTGGTTCCATTCTCAGTCAAAGGCATGTACCTTGGTTGCAGGTTGAACTCCAGCCCCAGTCAGGGTGCCCAGGAGGCAACCAGCCAATGTGTTTCTCACATTGATGTTTCTCTTTCTCCCCCTCCTCCCTTCCTCTCACTCTCTGTAAAAAAAATATCTTCAGGTGAGGATTAAAAATAAAAATCCTGGGTCTTTCAGTTAATGGACACTGGGTCAAGTGACCTCACTTAGCTAACCCTTCTCATCTGTAAAATGGCAATGATATTACCTCCCTTTTATTTATTTTTAATTAATTAATTAATTAAATTATTATCTGTGTACATATTTTAACATTGCTTGCCCCCCTCCTATACATACCCTCCCTCCCCAGAGTTTTGTGCCCATTGGTTATACTTATATGCATGTATACAAGTCCTTTGGTTGATCTCTTATCTCCCCTAGATCTCCCTACCTTACCTCCCTTTTAAATTTCAAAGCAGAGGGAGTCAGTAAGCACTGCCTTAATCCTCATAAAAACTCCATAAGAAGTGATATTATTATGCCCATTTTACAGATGAAATAATTGAGGCTTAGAGAGATGAAGGCATTTCCCCAAGTCACCAGGCTATTAAATGGAGTAAGGAATTAGAAGGTTAGCCTAGAACTGTCTGACCCACAGAATGCTCTTAATCACTATGAAGGGTCCTTCCTGCCAGAGAGCATACACAGGACAAACTATCATGTCTGTAAACCACAGTCTACAAAAGTACAAGAAGCTGTAGTTTGTTAAAGATGAAAAAAAAAAAAAAAAGCCACACAACCAGAGCTGTAGTTTGTTAAGGATGAAAAAAAGAAGAAGAAAAAAAGCTACACAACATCAAATTGCAGCTTCACTATGACCTTAACTAGGTTATAGTCACACAGAAAAATAATGGAAAACAAGAAATTTATAGTAGTGATATACATGCGTGTGTTTCCTTAATATTTTTTCTGTCTTGTCTACACGCATACAGATTTTATTATTTAAAAAAAAAGAAAGTTACTCAAAGGCCACCTCTTTTTGCACATAGGTTCCCCTCACGGATATTCCAGTACACAGATCTTATACTACTTTACCCCCCTTTTGCCATCTCCTTCTAGATCTCTACCCCAACTCCTTCCCCTTTCTATCTTTGTATAAATTAGACTGGGGACAGCTGTGTGTTAACCTAATCAAGTTCGCACTGAAGCTCTGCCAATTACCCTTCCTTTACCTCAAGAGCTGAGTAATTTCTTATTCACGAAACTGCCAACACCCTGTGGCCTAATTCTTCCCAGCCAAGCCCCAACAAAGCCTACCCCGCAGAAGTCTTCCTCACCTTCTGTTGGTTTTAAAAAAAACTTTTATAACCAACTTCACATAGCCTTGTCTTGCTGAGGCCATTTCCCCAGCAACCCTGCCTCAAACCACAGGGCCCCAAATTTAAAAAAGACAACTGCAAGTCATCATATTTTCCCAAGATGACTTGCAAAGAACAAAAACCTTGAGTGTTGTGTCGCCTTTGGTATGTAGCAGACATGAAATGTGACAGGGCAGAGCAGAGGGGCACCAAGGGAATTGTTGGGCTAACAGACAGCGTGTGAAAAGTGTGCTCGTGGCAAGTGCACGCTTGAATGTGGCAGAGGAAGGAGGCAGAGGTGTGAGGTTTTGTTTGGAGCCCTGGCAGCTGCGGAGGCAGGTGGGGCAGTTCTGAAAGGAAGGAGCAGTTTGTGAGCTGTCTGTCTCGCACCCACTACACTTGATCAACGCTGGCCAGATGCCTGATTTGCTTATTAGCAGAGTAGGTTTACAGGTTGTCCTTTTTGCTTTCCTGGACTGACTTCATTCCAATTCCATCAAACTTAGCCTTCCTGCCTCCTTCAGTGAGAAATGATGACACATTTTCAAATAAGATGTCTTTCAAGGTCATTTTAAACAAAAATCAGGGTCAGGGTACCATATAGCTCTAGATCAACCCCCAAATAATTGATGAAGAATTGTACATGAGTCTACATTGATTTTTTTTATTCTTGTAATGTAATGTAATGTAATGTAATGTAATGTAATGTAATGGGAAGATAGGGCAGTGATAACTGAAAGGCAGGCTGGGTAAATCTGTAGTCAAATGTGACAGAAATTCATCATAGGAGTTCACAATTCTCATATAAAAAGACATAAGCTTATCACTTAGTTAATTTTCCCCAAAATGTCCAATTATGACTGGATAAAGAAGATGGGACTACAGGGCCCTCCAGGTTAAGCAGTAGATCAACATTTTCTCTGTGGGGTTTACCAGTGTTAACCTGTGTGCAGACAGAAACATCTTCAACTCAGGTGAGTATGTTAAGTCATGGATTTTTATTCTTATTCTCTTTATCCCCCCTCTCCCTATGGTGAAAGTAAACTCCAAACTCAGGTGGCTTCAGCCTGTTCAGTTTTCAGGTAGATGCTGAAAACAGGACCTTAGGGCTATGTTGAGGCCTAGAGGGACATATCAACAGCTAGGTGGTAGCCAAAGTGGGCCCAGAGCTCACTTCTCTCATGTCCAGGCTAGCAATTCATTAAAAAAGAGCCAACATAAAAATGTTCAGAACAAAATCAATGAGCCAACATCTTCTGATTTAGGGGATGGTGTAATACCTCCTGAGGTCTTCACATAATACAGAGCACATAGGACTGTGTGTAGAGCTGTTGGCTTGGACAGAGAAACAGCAAACAACGTTCTTCAGTACTGTATAATAACTAGATTCAATTTCTTACCATTATCAGCAGGAAGGAAATAGATCTGAATGTTCTGGAGTGAAGATAGCAGGAAGGCAAGTTTTGCTTCCTGCCAAGGGATTTCAGAATTGACTCTGCCTCTTGTTTGGCAAGTCTGGCCAGTCTCAAATGAAAGAGCTCATCATCTGGCTCAACCATCCTCTCTGGCAGAAATTTTCATTCACCATTTGGCCTCTTGAGCCAGTCTGCCTTCAACAATCTGGCCCCACACATTTTGGGGGAGGGGGGTTGTTAGAGGAATGTGGTAGGTTTCTGAAAGCAAATTTTAGCTTGATTTGGGGCCTTGGGAAGTCCGTCATTTGGCTAAGTTCTCTGGAGGTGTCTGTGTTTGAGGCTGGAGAGGGTGATACAAATAGATAGTTCCTGACCAGGGTACCCCTCATGGAAGTTTCTCCTCTGCCCTTTTCTCTTCTCTTCCTGGTGGATTGACAATACAATTGAGGTGTGCAGCTGGGACAATACTCGGGATTATAATGTCTATAACTGCCCCTCTGCACCCTACAGAGTCTCCTACACAAGAGATCCTTTGGAGCCACCACAGAACTTGCTCTTGGCAGGGTCTCTCTTGGGTTTCCTCTCCTTAACCTCTGGTCTGGTGGTCTATAGCCCTTAGCTGGGCCCTCCAGATTGCTGACCTACCTATTGAGTAGTCATCTAGACTTTGGTCTTCAGCTTCTCCCTAAGATACTCCCTTAGTTCAATCCTTGGCTCACTCCTTTGCTTCATCCACCCCACCCTGAAAATGATTCCTCAACTCCATGCCCAGACCTCAGGTCTGGATGGAAGGATCTGGACCCCCCTTTGTCTAGGAAGGTAAATCTGACAAAGATCTTGGCTTTCCACTTTCTCTTCTTTCTTACTAGTATAGGAGAGAGTAGCA